TGGAGAAGATCTGGCACCACACCTTCTACAACGAGCTGCGCGTGGCTCCCGAGGAGCACCCCGTGCTGCTCACAGAGGCTCCCCTCAACCCCAAGGCCAACAGAGAGAAGATGACGCAGGTACCGCGCCTCCCTCGCCTGCCGGCCGCCCCTTTCACACTCCTCTTATTCACAAACCACCTTTTGTTACGGCATCTTAAACCTGAGTTTTGTTGTTTGTTTTTTTTTTCTCTTTTTCCCGACGTTTTCAGGGTTCTGTTCTCCTGGCATTTCTTCCTTGACGCCTCAGGTTTCTTTCATTTGTGTTTTCTGCCTGCGTTCTTTGCTTTTTCCCCTTCACACACCGTTTTTCCTCTTTTAATGGTTTTTGCATGTCAGCATGTGTGCTCTAACGGGGGTGTGAGTGCGACCCAGCTCATGACTTTGTACGAATTGATGACGTATTAACTTTTTTTACCCCTTTTCTAGATCATGTTTGAGACCTTCAACACCCCAGCCATGTACGTGGCCATCCAGGCCGTGCTGTCCCTGTACGCCTCCGGTCGTACCACTGGTATTGTTATGGACTCCGGGGACGGTGTCACCCACACCGTGCCCATCTACGAGGGTTATGCTCTGCCCCACGCCATCCTGCGCCTGGACTTGGCCGGCCGTGACCTGACAGACTACCTCATGAAGATCCTGACAGAAAGAGGCTACAGCTTCACCACCACGGCCGAGAGGGAAATCGTTCGGGACATCAAGGAGAAGCTCTGCTACGTCGCCCTGGACTTCGAGCAGGAGATGGCCACCGCTGCCTCCTCCTCCTCCCTGGAGAAGAGCTACGAGCTGCCTGACGGGCAGGTGATCACCATCGGCAATGAGAGGTTCAGGTGTCCAGAAGCCCTCTTCCAGCCCTCCTTCCTGGGTAGGTGATGGCCAGGGGGGTGGTGGCATGGGGTTGGCACCACCACAGCAAGCTAGCGACCCTGCAACTCCCTCCTCTTCCTCCTCCCCCAGGCATGGAGTCCTGCGGCATTCACGAGACCACTTTCAACTCCATCATGAAGTGCGACGTGGACATCAGGAAGGACCTGTACGCCAACACGGTGCTGTCGGGCGGCACCACCATGTACCCCGGCATCGCCGACAGGATGCAGAAGGAGATCACAGCCCTGGCGCCCAGCACGATGAAGATCAAGGTAAGAAAAGATCTCCCAGGCAGGGCTGGGGGGATCCCAGACAGGGTTGGGGAGAGTAATGGGGAGGTTAGTGGGGGACACCCGGGCTGCTCTGACCGCCGCTCCGCTCTCTTCCCTTGCAGATCATCGCTCCCCCCGAGCGCAAATACTCGGTCTGGATCGGCGGCTCCATCCTGGCCTCGCTCTCCACCTTCCAGCAGATGTGGATCAGCAAGCAGGAGTACGATGAGTCCGGCCCCTCCATCGTTCACCGTAAATGCTTCTAAAAAAAACCAGGACTGCTGGCGGGTGGCGCTACGCCCGCTGCATGAGTCGTCTCACTAGTGTCCGTTTGCCCAGGCAAATCGATACACCTCGTGCTAGCCTCGTAAAACTGGAATAAGCCTTTTCTCAAAAGAAAACTTGCCCTTGGAAAAGTCTGTACCTGATGTTAGACAAAATGTCGGCACTGGATGGTCGAGCTGTCACTTGATTATTCTTTTTTTTTCTTTTGACCTTGTTGATTCGAGTTTAATCGTTTGAAATACCCTGTACAGCCCCGGAGGAGAGCCCATGCCTGACCGGGGCTGTCGCAGCCCCCCCACCCCCAACACTGACAGTGGCCCGTCTTTCCTCGGGCTGGGACCGGGGGGTGTACAGGGTATTTGGAGTCAGACTTGGCCGTCCATCCAGCGTGGAGTTATTCCAGGTTTCCTGTAGAGGCTGGTAGGAGTCCATCGAGAATTTTCACTTCTTGTCGCTGCCGTTCTAGCAAGGTTTGGGAAAAAAAAACCACAAAAACATATCGCATCCGAGCCTTACGAACCAGTTCTTCATTCTCCTTCCCCACCCGTATCCCAGTCGACATCACGGGGCTGAAGTCACTCAACTTGAGTTGCTGAAACTTGGCATTTACACCTGTAAATTTACGCATTGTTTTAATTTATGTAAGATTTTTTTTTGTACGTTGCCTTAATGTTCTCACATGACAGTAGGAAACCAAAATTTGTATAAGTCATCCTCAAAAGTTGAGAAATTGTAATGCCCAATGACACATTATGGTGTAAGGAAAATAAAAACAAACAAAAAAAGCGCTGCAGTGAACTCCACCTGGGGCTGTGTGTGCTGGGGGGGTGACACTGCCTGGGCTTCTCCTCAGCAGGGGACAAGTGGGAGCGGAGCTGGAGCTCCTCTTCCCAAGGAAGCTGTGCCGTTGTGGCACTTTTGGGTTTAAAAATGGCCACTTCGGTGCCAAGTGAGGGTCAGGGGGGGAGGAGGGGATGCTGCCCTCGGCTGTTGCCTGGTCCCCCACCCCCTTGCCCAGGAGGGAGCACCCCATGGCTGCTGGG